ACACCTCGAAAAGTAATCGAAAGTCCCACGCTCCATACTTTTAGGAAATTTGAAAAGAAAAAAATGCCAGAGTCTATAGACATCGAGAAGCTTTAACAATATCCCTTATGAATATCATTAAAAAATGAAACGCAGAAAGCGAAACAGTTAGCGATTATTTTAGCATCGAGTAGTTTCTCTTGTCTTTGTCACCCATCTTCTTTAAGAAGGTGGTAAAACTCTCTTCTATATCAATGAAATAGTCATAATCTCGTGTCCATTTTTTCTCGAATACGCAAAAGATTTGCATATCATTGTATTAAGTAGAAGAGTTTAAACATACAGATAACGCACTTCTATCGAGCGCCGAAGGAGATGAACCTAAAACAGCCGTGGCTGGATCATCCTAGCAAAAGACCTCTAGTTTCCATATTACATAAATGAAAAACAACCAAAACCGACGCAGCGGTGTGACATAGGAGGTGGCCTTGTGCCTTCGCGGTTGCCTAGACGAGCCCTTACCACCGTCCGAAAGAGCGCATCTAGTGCTTGGACGTTGGACGCTGTCAATTGCCGGCAAAGATCTTGTCAAAGGCCTCTAGCTCCGATTCGGTTGGCACTGATGGACCCTTAGTGTAGCCCATACGCTGCATGATCAGCACCTCACCTCGCTTGGAAGCGGATACTCGAGAGAGGCTCTAGGTCACCAACCACCTGCTCCACCACGGCAGCACCGGCTTAGCAGGAGGCTGCTTGGGAGGCTCATGAATAAGAAGAGAGCCACGCTTCTTCAGCACACGCGCCTGGTGAAGCTCTTGAGGCGGCATGTGGCGGAGCTATCACTGACGTCAACTGTGTGGTCCTCTCAAGATGGTGTACTGAATATGTCTGCATCTAGCCGTGGGCTCGACCGACCAAAGCCAAACGGATCGCCCGCCTCGTCCTGCGTAGGCGCGTCCGCTCCTGAGGTGGTGGTCAGCGCCACGCGTGGTGACGTGACCCAAGACTAACCATGCTCAAGCGGCGGTGGAACCAAGTCCGTTTCTAGTTGAGCGGGGTGGGAGACCATCGACGAAGTGGCGCAGGTGCACACACTAGTGGCCACGAACAAGGCTGCAACCTCCTCCAGCATCGGGTCCTCCGAGACTTCGCATGTGGCGTGCGAGGCATCTCGGGCATGGTGAGAGCAACAATGGGTCAAGGTCGGAGAGGGCACAACTATGGTTGGTCGACTCACCATGACTATCATGGGCAGCACTATCGGTGGCGACACTGGAGGCCTTTGCCGCAGCGGTGTCGTACCCCTTCAGCCGTCGTCGACACCTCCGGCGTCGCTGATGTCGGCGCCCACCACCGCCGCGCGTAGCCGCACCCGACACAACTCCACCGAGCTCCGCGTGTCGCCCTGAGGGTGCGGGGGTCGTGGCGACCGTAGGCAGAGTGTTGATTAGGTGGTTGGGTGCCCAGATACGTTTCCCGTCAGGTTGTTGTGGCCAGCCTTCCGTGGCACCAGACGTGCCAGAGTTAGGAGGCACCGTCCGACCGCCACTTGCAGTCCCGCACGAGATGTCGAAACCCTTTGCATCGGAGGCAACGTGGAGGCAGCTTACAGGTTGCCCCATCCCTATGCGTGGAGGAGAGGCAGTTGAAGCACTTCTCGCGTAGGTCCACCGGATAGTGGGTAGGTGGCCGCCGGTTTGCCAAAGGTGCAGTGCGGGCGAGGCGTGCCTGCTGGTGCCACATGATGACCCCTGCGACAGGACCTCACGCCAGCATCGAGATCAGGAGCGGAGATGTGCTTGCAGGTGCCGTAGTGCAGACCGAGCCGCATGTGAGTTGGTACACGCCGCTCGCGATCATGCCCGCCTACCGCTTCCTTGCCTTGGATGGGAAGTCCATGAATGAGTTGCGGGCGTGGTCGATGACGGTTGTTGTGCTTGTGCCGAAGGCCGGCGGACGCCTTGCCGGTAGCACGGCCGCAAATGCTAACAACGATGATGGAGCGCAGTCGTTCTCTCGCAAGCAGCGGTGATGTCCTCGGTGCCTGCAGCTCACAAAGAACCGCGTCAAGGTAGGTGCTTGGGTAGATGGTCGGCGATGCTACCACATCAGAGTTGCCAAGGTCATCATCAACCAATGACGGGCCTTGGAGCGCCCCGCCGAATTTCTCCTAGGCTAGAAGGGAACATCGTTGGGGGAGAGGGAGGACGAAGGCCTCGGGGATGAGCTATTGTTGGTCCAGCGCCCATCGACATGAGGCCCGGATGGCTCGACGAGGAAGACATTGAGGGAGTCAGCGTCCGGTGAGAGGGGGGTGAGCTGGGGGTGCATGACGGCGGCGCCACGGTGGAGTCGGAGCTGCTCCCCAAGCACGACCATGGAGCCCGTTGTTGCTTGCTCCCAAAGCATGACCATGGGGCGCGCCCTGCTTGATCTAGGTGTGCGGTGGCGGCGGAAGGCCTGGTGGCGGCGGGTGCGGCGTAGGCTGATCTGGCCCCATGGGGCTATTGACCTTGTGTGTGCCCCCAACCAGAGAGGGGCATAGGTGGTCAGTCTCTGCTCCGTGAAAGTAGAGATTCCCGATGGCGATGGTGGCGGCGCGGCCTCACCGTGAATGGCCGAGGTGCGGCATCCGCCTCCCCTCTGCTGACGTTGCTGGGGGCCGGCGTGTTCGTGTTTCGGCGACAACCCCACCGTTAGGTTGATCTCTCTAACTCGGGCATAGGTGGCCGCGATCCCAGCTCTACGATCGAGGCGTAAAGTAGAGATTCCCCCACGTGCGCGGCGAAAATGGAGGTGGGGCATAAGGCACGAGGTTCACACTGAGCCGCCACAAACCCCACCTGAATGGCCAATCTAGAGGTGCTTGCCGGCGATGGGAAGCCGTCACGTAGCCTCCGCCCTCGCTTGTCGCGACGTCCACACCGCTGTGTCCATTGCTACTATCGCCTTCACGCATCACCGACACCGGCCATGGCTAGCTTGTTACCTCCAAGGCGGATGGTTTGATAACACCGCTAACTCGGTCCAACGAGCACTAGTTCATATTCTAGGGTTTACCATATCCTAAATTCAAGTTCATACATGCTAGATCGGGGCGCCTAATGATCTATTAGTCAATGGCATCTTCCGTCGGGCGTTGTGGGCCCCGTCGCCCCAGATCCAAAGACTCACGCACCATAAAATGGAGGTGGGGCACAAGGCACGAGGTTCACCTGAGCCGCCACAAACCCCACCTACCTTCTAACCCTAAGCCAATCTTGAGAGAGGGTGTTGCCAGCAATGGGAAGCCATCACCGCCCGGCGTTTTATCGCCGCCTTTGCGACCACGACCACCTCCATCAGAGTGCATGTCCACACCGTCTACCGGTATTCAGCTTAAAACGCATTATTATTCCCAATTGGCATGCACCATCTCGTGCCCTCTGGTTTTAAAAATAACAATTGAAAAGTTTAGTAGACTGTTGGAGCATTGTTTCTTTTTAAGAAATGAACATAGCTAGAGGATTCCTTTATCTTAATAAGAGCATCTCCAAGAGTTCCCTAAACATCCTCCTAATGGTTTGATAACACCACATCCAACAATTTCTAATGTTTACTCTCTTTTAGGACTCTCTCCGCGTTCTCCCCGTCTCGCGTATCCTCCACTAGTTCATATTCTAGGAGTTTACCATATCCTAAATTCAAGTTCATACATGCTAGATCTGCTCACTAGTCGATCCTAATGATCTATCGCCACCTCGGGCTCCCGGCGCCGCTTCCGATGAGGACAGCTCGCCTGTCCGCGTCCGCCACGCGGGCAGAAGTGGGCCGCCACGTTCCGGTGGTGTCCATGTAGATCCAGTAGCAGTGCGCAGCAGATGCGTATGGAGCAGCGGGGCGAGCCCGCAGCGCATGTGCGGCCTCAGCGTGCAGCGCCACGATGATAATGTGCCTCCGCCCTTGTCGAGGTCCGTCGCTGCAACCTCCTTGATCCCACGTTAACTCGCATGCCCACGCGGTGGCGGTGATTTCACTTGAGGATCCTTCCCTCGTGGCCGGCGAAGCGGTGGCCTCAAGCGGGATGTGGATGCGGTCGTCAAGCGGTGGCCTCAAGCAGGATGCGTGGAAAAAGGGGACTCATCCGTCAAATGGGATGATTTGATTTTTTAGGAAATAGGTGGATGTTGGAGATGAACTTTTTTTCTCCTAAAACCGAGTTGGTAGGGGGAGGAATATTTAGGGAACTCTTGGAGATGCTCCTTGTTTGAAGAGAGGAGGACCAGGGTTATTCACATTTAATTTGATGGTCGGGCGAATTGAAAGCTAAGCGGTAATTAAGACCCCGGTGAAAATAGGGATGTCCACGGGCTCCCATAATATGGGTTGGGAATTGCATGAGTCATTCGATCCAATGGTGACATAAGGCGTCTGACCGGGAGACCTAGGATGTAGAAGATCATAACATGAGCGATTGACCACAGGATGTAGAAGATCATAACATGATCAAGCGATTCAAATATAAATATTATTCCCAATTGGCATGCACCATCTGGAAGTGCCCTCTGGTTTTAAAAAGAAAATCAATTGAAAAGTTTAGTAGACTGTTGGAGCATTGTTTTTTTTGCATGATCTGAGCCTTCGAACAATAGCTAGAGGGATTCCTTTTATCTTAATAATCTCCTGCGGTGCTCTTAGTTAAGCCCTAGCTACACCACCACCTGGCGGTTTCGCATGGGGCGTGCATGATCCTGAGCCTTCCACCGGTACTCCTTTCATCGCAGAAATAACAGCGCGTTTACGATGGCGGTGGACAGATTTAGTGCAGCTCAGCAGCTGCCATCTGACGTCCTCCACAGTCCACACTAGCGTCACAGTTTGCTCAGCTGTACTAATAGCTATCTCTGTCAGGGCACAGGGCAGTTCGCGACTTCTTCATGTCACTCCGACACTCCATGCTGCCGGAGCTTTATATACCCAATAATGTTTAACTAATTGGGCCGTCATTTAATTTCGTCTCAGGCAGGCCTCCGCACACATGCATGGCGCCGCCGTCGCACTGCCACATCAACAGCAACAATAATGGTGTCCACCTCAACGGCACCGCGGCCGTTCCGGCGGAAACGGAGACGGTGCCGCCACTGCTGGGCTCCCGGCTGCTTGATGCCGAAGAGTTCAGGCGGCAGGGCCACCAGGTCGTCGACTTCATCGCGGACTACTACGCCAGCATGGAAGACTACCCCGTGCACCCCAACGTGACACCCGGCTTCCTGCGCCGGCAGCTCCCCTCGGACGCGCCGTCGCGCCCCAAGCCCGACGCGTTCGCCGCGGCGCTGCGAGACGTCCACGACCTCATCCTGCCCGGCGTGACGCACTGGCAGAGCCCCCGACACTTTGCGCACTTCCCGGCGTCGAGTAGCACCGTCGGCGCCCTCGGCGAGGCCCTCGCCGCCGGCATCAACGTCGTGCCTTTCACGTGGGCCGCCTCGCCGGCCGCCACCGAGCTCGAGATGGTGGTTGTGGACTGGCTCGGCAAGGCGCTGCACTTGCCCAGGGGCTTGCTGTTCTGCGGCGGGGGCGGGGGCACGCTCCTGGGCACCTCGTGCGAGGCCATCCTCTGTGCCCTCGTCGCCGCGCGGGAGCGCAAGCTCGTGGAGATCGGCAGCAGGAGGATTGGGGACCTCGTGGTCTACTGCTCCGACCAGACCCACTTCGCCGTCCGCAAGGCTGCGCGCATCGCCGGCATCCACCGCGACAACTGCCGCGAGATCGCGACGTGCCTTGGAGGCATGTTCGCGCTCTCGCCAGCCGACCTGCAGGCCGCCATGCAGGTTGACGTGGACGACGGGCTTGTCCCGCTCTTCCTGTGCGCGACGGTCGGGACCACTCAGACGACCGCCGTCGACCCTATCCGGGAGCTCTGCGCCGTCGCGGCGACGCACGGCGTCTGGGTCCACGTGGACGCGGCCTACGCGGGCTCGGCGCTCGTGTGCCCGGAGTTCCGCCACGTGATGGACGCCGCCGAGGCTGTGGACACCTTCAGCATGAACGCTCACAAATGGCTCCTGGCCAACAACGACTGCTGCGCGCTGTGGGCGAGAAAGCCGTCGCTGCTCACGGCGGCGCTGGGCACCGAGCAGGAGTACATCCTCAAGTCCGCGGCGGCGGACGGGCACGACGACGTCGTGGACTACAAGGACTGGTCCATGACGCTGACCCGGCGATTCCGCTCGCTGAAGCTATGGCTCGTGCTCCGTTGCTACGGGGTGGAGGGTCTGAGGGACCACGTCCGCGCTCACGTCGGCATGGCCGCGTCGTTCGAGAACATGGTGAAGACCGATGCCCGGTTCGAGGTGGTGGTGCCGAGGCACTTTGCGCTGGTGTGCTTCCGGCTCCTGTCGCCGGAGAACCTCGGCGGCGAGAAGACGGCCAACGAGCTCAACCGGAGGCTCCTCGAAGAGGTGAACGCGACCAGCTCGGGGCCGTACATGAGCTCGGCTAAGGTGGGCGGCATCTACATGCTGCGGTGCGCCATCGGGAGCACGCTGACGGAGGAACGGCACGTCCGCGAAGCGTGGAAAGTCGTGCAGGATCGAGCTGCTTCCCTGCTCCGTAAAATGGAGATCATTTACAGCGTGCTCGCTTAAGCTGGCTGCTGGCCTCATTTGTATTCCGAATCTTGCATTAAAAAAGAGTATATTTTCCTCCCGATGCCACGATATAATGTTACGTTGCTCTCGCCTAGCTAGCTATATTAGAGGACAAATGAAATTCTCAGCTGGCATGAGACTTCACAAACCCTGGGCAATATATTCATTCGTAGAAGATCAAAATGTGATATATTAGACAAATTTGTCCCTCAAGCATAAATAATCACTTTTTCTATATCTCAGGTGTCCGATTTTTTTTTTTTTGAAGGGACGGCAAAAGTTTTATCACTATTTTTATTAGACGAAAAAAAATAAAAATCAAAGTGCCAGAAAGTCTGCTAACAACTAGTTGAAGGTCTAGTTAAAAAATTTGCTAAAAATCAGCTAGATAATAGTGAGCCCTATGCATCCAAACAAGGCCTCGATTCTTTCATCTCCAATAGCTTTCTCTCGTTGCAAGATACACATGCGCACCAGATAACACCGTTCTATAGTGCTGACATAATAACCATCTTTATATTATATTAGTTGCGTGTTCATTTGGTTCCCCGCACAGGCTCTCGAGCTAGGCTCGTGGGGTGCAACGACGCGATGTTTGGTTGCCCGGCCATGCGTTGCAAAACCCTCCTGCCAGCCAGGCTCCGCACTGCCAGAAAATTAAAATGAGCGTATTCAGCAAAATATCCAAGCGTTTTATGCATATACAAGCAATCAAACAACGTCCCCTATACTAGCTCCGCTGCCCGTGGGTATAGGCAACCAAACAACCACCACCTACACATGAACTGCACCTGGCCACGGAAAGCCTGCATGGGTGATTCGCAAAAAATAAAAATAAAAACCCTACCTGGTGGTGTGAATCAGCGTCCTGTTCGTTTAGGTTTTTAGGCTGATAAGTCATAGCTGAAAGTATTGTTGGCTGGTTTGGTGTGAGAGAAAGAATACTGTTCGTTGGCTGATAAGCCATGACTTATAAGCCAAATACGACCGAACAAACAGAACGTGCTGCAGGTTTAGACCAAACATGCCCCTAAGTTGCAGCAGGATTGCAAGTCCGCACTATTGGCAATATATAGTGTAATAAAAAAAAACACCCGTGCGAAATGTCGTATACCTTGGCCAGTTGATAATGCCAATGTGAGAATCGATGCAGCCACTGCCAAGCTCTCTGCTTGCACGAGGACGCTAAATGCCTGATTGCCTGGATCCGTCGGTGGCTCGGTGCTGTTGCTCTGGCCAAAGTGGCCACCAACAGTACACGAACACGTACGATTAAACATGTTGTACGCACTTGCTGTCACCACAGCGACACGTACGTCAACGATCTCGATGAACCGTGCACAACTGTGCACGTTGCAGGAGCCGATGATCCTAATCGCCCGTCTGCATTGTGACGACCAAAGGATCGAGATGAAAGCGCTGGTTCAGCTTGCCCAATTAATGGCCAGACGACTCGAGCCCTCTCGAGTGTCGATTCTCCAGCCTCCGAGAAAACGAGAGATTGGAACATATTAGCCACCGAGAACACCTGTACGGTTCAAAACAATTCAACAAATAACAGCCAACCCTATCTCTTCAATGAGGGTTCCTATCTATGTGTAATCGCCCTTGCATTACGCGCTCGGATAGATGCCGTTAGTGCGTTTATGCAGTGTCTAGTTTGAAGAACGAACCCATTCTAGATGGAGGGTGTATCATGAGTCTATTGTTCAAATTTAATGAAATGACTTTATCTATTATACAAGGTAGTACTAATTATTAGCTTGTGAAAAACGAGATGGGTGATGGATCAAACTCATTTCATTTTATAAACCAAAGAAAAAAAAGCTTAAGAATAAAATGACGATGGACTATTTTATTCCACAAACCAAACACCTCTTAATTCTTAGCGCAAAATCGTAATGCAGAACTCTTGTGGTGCCGTCGTGCCGACACTACTATATTTAGTACTCCCTCCGGTTTTCTAAAGCAAGTCGTTTTGGACAACGACACGGTCTTTAAGAAACGACTTTGACTGTAACTTTTTGCTATATAAGAAGTTATTTATAGTCAAAGTTTAAAATGTTTGACTTAAGAAACGACTTGCTTTAGAGAATCGGATGGAGCACGTAGTTTTTTTTTCACTTTTCTGGTGGTGCTTGCCTCCGGCTGCTTGTGGAACGCGCCTATCCACTATTTATGCATATACGTACGATATATAGTGGTGCCTGTCATCACTAGTAGTAGTACAAAAATAGATTCTACAGGCGGCACTTCACTGGCGGTCGTTTGAAGCGTCAGCGTGAAAGGCTAGGAAAAATGATCACGTTTCGCTGGCGTCTACATTGGTGATTGGCATGCGCTAGTGTACTAGTAGTATATTGATTAGGGTGGGCAAATTTGACCAAACTACAGACCAGCGTGTCATTAATTTGCCTTGTCACACCGATGCTTTCTGTTTTGATGACTATACTATAGATGGCTGAGCCGAAAGATATGATTATTGTCCATCACACAGCTTTGTCAAAAACATTTACTGTCAGTTCCGCTGGCAGTTGGCTGTCCCTGTCCCGCGTAGGCCGTTGTTGAGCGTGGCAGCAGTATGTGCTACAAACACGCGAGTCTTTATAAAATCCATCAGATCGCGCTTGTCCTGGAAAACAGGTCAGGTGTGAGTTGTGTGACACACTACACCGGGCACCGCGACAGGACCATAGGATGGATGCGGCGGCAGCCACCCCCGCCCTCCGAAGGCGTCCGCTCTCGGTGCACAAGGAGAGCAATGGCACGGCCGCCGCCGCCACCGGGGCGGCAGGGGCCAGGGTCGGGCGGGCGGGCCACGCCGAGGAGCTCGGGGAGCCCGTGAGCCCCTCCGCCAGGCTCGTGGAGGACTTCTACATCGTCGTCGTGATTGGGATCGCCACCCCCGTGAACCTCGCCGCCGCACGCGCCGGCATCGAGGCCCAGCTCGCGCGCTACCCTCACTTCCGCAGCATCCAAGTATGCACACTGCAAGTAACATAACCACGTACGCTGATAACACGTGATTGCATGAAAGCACGTAGTTAATTAGCCTGTCAATCATGTTCTATACTTACCGTAACGTTTCGTCTCGGCGGTCATCGCTTCTCGCCGGTGCAACGTACGCGCGTGCAGGTGAAGGACGACGCGTCCAGTGAAGACGACGGCCACCGGCGGTGGGTGCCGACGACGGTGAACCTGGACGACCACATCATCTACCCGAAGCTGGACGCCGCGGCGGTGGCGCGCGACCCGGACAGGGCCGTGGAGGACTACGTGGCGACGCTGTCCACGCTGCCCATGGACTGGTCCCGCCCGCTGTGGGAGTTCCACGTCCTCGACTTCCCCACCTCCGAGGCCGCCGCCACCACGGCGGTCCGCGTGCACCACTCGCTCGGCGACGGCATGTCGCTGCTCACGCTCCTCATGGCGTGCACCCGGAGCGCCGCCGACCCGACCAGGCTGCCCGCCATGCCGCCGCCGCCCACCACGCGCACGGGCGCGATCTGGGAGCGGCCGCGGCCCCCGGCGTCCGCGGGAGCCCTGGCGTTCGCGGCGTGGGTGTGGTCCTTCGCCGTGCTGGCCTGGCACACCGTGGTCGACGTCGCCGCCTTCTTCGCGACGATTCTCTTCCTCAGAGACCCGCACACGCTCTTCAAGCGGGTGAACCACGGGGTGCACCAGCGGAAGCGCCTCGTTCACCGCGGCCTCAGCCTAGACGACGTCAAGTTCGTCAAGAATGTCATGAACTGCGTAAGTTCCATAAATAGTCTCGTTTTTTATCTATTTTTTTTTATCTTTCCATTACTGTCTCAAAATGACCGAGATGTTGCATGTGTCCGGACAGACAGTGAACGATGTGCTGGTTGGTGTCACTTACGCTGCCTTATCGCGATACTACTTCCGGAATACAGGTGATGATTGGCAACCGAACGAGAATGCTCTGTTCTGACCTGAGTTACTGCTCTAACCGTTGCATTGCTTATCCGGTTCTTTAGGTGACGCTGACATGAAAAAGGAGATCCGTGTGCGATCAATTCTACTTGTCAATTTGAGGCCAACGACCAGCCTACAGGTATGATGAACTTTGCCCGGATGCAAGATAAAAGAAATTTTGATCCTTTTACCCAAGTTACAAATAGTGTTAAAATTTACTGTTACTCTCCCGTTCTTATTACCGCGAGCAGGCATGTGTTAACATGATAGAGTCCGGCAAGGAAAGTGACGTGAAATGGGGGAATGAACTTGGCTTCATCATCCTTCCTTTTCACATCGCCTTGCACGATGATCCGTTACAATATGTCCGCAAGGCGAAGAAGGTTGTGGATAGGAAAAAGAGTTCACTAGAAGTGGTGTTCACTCATTTAGCTGCAGACGTTATTCTCAAAATCTTTGGACTCAAGGTACGCCAGTTCGATACTTATTTTTGTACCGGCAGAACATCACCAAACCATTTCATTATTTCTCTTCAAATAAAAACCATTTTATACCGGTTACGAACTGGCAGACTTATCTAAAAACTCATACAGATGTCTGGTCGAAACATCTTATTTACGGTGTAACCAGGCTAACATAGTTCCAACGTCCAATGGCTACGCTCGTATTGATGACAAATAACTAGTTCTGTGGCTCACATCTCTTGTTTCATTAAAAGCATGAAGATTGTTGTCAATTCAGCCATGCGCATGCACCACAACATGCTATCTGGATTTCTTGTTTCTGATATAGCATTGCCAACTTGTGAATCAAAACAGGCAGCTAGAGCTACCTTCCATCGTATGATATCTCAGACAACCATATCGTTCTCCGGCATGATTGGTCCAGTTGAGCAGGTGGAGTTTTGTGGACATCCAGTTGTCTTCATCGCCCCTAGTGGCTATGGGCCTCCAGAAGTAAGTCCTCAAGAATCTAATAATGCAATAGACATTTATTATATGCAGGAACATGTTACGGCATCAAATCTCAAAGAAATGGTGGTTGCTAAATATTAGCATTTCTAGGATAAGCTCAATTACAAAATGGCATATATTGGTGGACATCTAATTGCAAATAAAATATGAATTCTTGACAAAGGTATCTATGCACAGATATGTACCAGAGAGAAGAAACAATTGATCATTTAGAAAAACAAGTTTCTTTAATACCCATCCACTTTTTGGTTACTTGTAGCCTGGACTCTGTGTTCATGTCTAAAACAAGTTCAAGCTAAATTTGCATCTTTGTTTGTTTGTCTTTTTTTTTTTTTCTTGCAGGCCCTAACCGTGAATTTCCAAAGTTATGTTAACACTATGATGGTAAATCTAGCAGTGGATGAGGCACAATTTCCAGATTCTCATGAGCTGCTGGATGACTTTGTTGAATCCCTCAGGCTAATTAGAGCTGCAGCTTCAAGCCTTGGAAAGAATCAAAGAAATGATTAAGGGACTACTGAACCAGTGTTTCCTTTCATTCCTCAGTCCTAATAAGAATTGTAGAATTCAGTATTACTGCTAAATTGTTTAAGCTTTTGTGTTATAAAGTGTACAATTTAACCGAAACCAAATTGATGAAGCATGTCAGTGGGTTGAGCAAAAGATTTTATGGAGAAAAATCATCATTTATTCTGGAACAAAATGTTGTAAAATTGTAATAGTGAACAGTACTTTAATATGCTTCACCTTTTTACTCACCATGTGTGATGGACAGAATAGCAAAATGTCCATGAGTATTACTCCTCTTCCTCAAAGTCCATAAGAAAGTCAGTTAGGTTCTCAGAATCGTCAATGGCTTCTTTTAGTGACATTTCACCTTTATTTGATTTTTCCTGCAGTAGAAAGGAACAAACATTTTTTTTTGATACGGGTATATCCATCAGGAAAAAAAAAGGGCGTACTCAGTGCAGAGAGCTCCCGCTCTGTGCGGGGTCCGGGGAAGGGTGTCAGTTGCAGGTTCATGTATGGGATAGAACATGTTAGTAAAAGTGTTACGTAATCTCCACATTTTTAACCATATAATCAATTACGATCATATTTGCAGACGCGATGATAGCACAGTGGTTGAGCACCTGAGGTGCGGAGCTCCCCACCAGGGTTCTATCCCAGGTACTGCATGGTTGTGTGCCCACCTCCCTGGTTGAAACTGCGCAGATGGTTCCACGGCCGCCAAAGAAGCGTGCGCGTGAGGTTCCTACCTTGTTCCCGTGTTCGGCCGGCCCCTTCTTAAGACTAAAGTCTGTCCCCTTGATCAAGTCTTTTTAATTACAATCATATTCTCATAGATTGACACAGTATAGACCAACAACAAAGTAACCGGTTGCTGTATTTGTGAATGCTAATAGATATGCTTTTTTTCTGACCAGAAAACATAATATAAACTATGTACCTTGGGCTTTTCAGTCTGTCCAGTAGACTTTATAACACTCCAATTCTGGTTCACTTTCTCTTCTACTTCCGCAACATCATCCCCATCATCTTCCTCATCCTATTTGTAAAGAAAAAGGTTTTAAAGAAACAATAAGCGCTAAAATAGGATTATTTCTAATAACTATATCATCAATAAACCACTTTCTTCTTTTGGTGATGGCCCACTATTTTGGTGCTACAATATCATGAGGAAGGTCACATTTAACCTTCCATAAGAAAATTTGTGAGCTGAGATTCCCGTATTGTCGGCAATGGCAGTAGGGGCCTTGAGAACCACAAAAAGCCTATAACTTATAAAGTTATGTGTACAGTAGTAAGGTACCTCTAGTGATTCAGGCTGTGCAGCAGCTTTATTGACATCCTCATCCTCATCATCACTGTCTTCATTGTACTGTTAAAAAGTAGAAAATACAGTGAAACAAGCAGTATTCTAAATGCATAAGCTATAATTACACCTTACAAAATTCACAATCCATTTTCCTTTTCTGTATAGTATAAATGGCTTGAGAAGCGAGCTATAAGTGTGGCAAAGGGTAGAGCGTACGAGGATCTTTACCAACATTTGAGTACGAAGGAAGGAGAGAAGGACATTTATAGGATGGCTAGGGTTCGTGAGAGAAAGACACGGGACTTCAACCAAGTTAAGTGCATTAAGGATGAAAGGGAGCATCTCTTGGTGAAGGAGGATGAGATCCGACATCGATGGCAAGAGTATTTTGATAAATTGTTCAATGGTGAGAATATGGACACAACCTTTCAGTTGGATGACTCTTTTGATGACACCAATAGACGCTTTGTGCGGAGAATCCAAGAATCTGAGGTCAGAGAGGCGTTGAAAAGGATGAAAGGAGGTAAGGCGATGGGACCAGATGGTATCCCAATCGAGGTGTGGAGATGCCTCGGGGACATAGCTATAGTATGGCTAACCAAGCTGTTCAACCATATTTTTAGATCGAACAAGATGCCTAATGAGTGGAGGCGAAGTATATTGGTACCGATCTACAAGAATAAAGGGGATATTCAAAGTTGTACTAATTATCGGGGAATTAAGTTGATGAGCCATACTATGAAGCTATGGGAGAGAGTTATCGAACATCGCTTGAGAGCAATAACGCGGGTCTCTGTGAACCAATTTGGTTTCATGCCCGGAAGGTCAACCATGGAAGCTATTTTCTTAATAAGACAAGTTATGGAGCGGTATAGGGAGAAGAAGAAGGACATACACATGGTTTTTATTGACTTGGAGAAGGCTTATGATAAAATACCAAGGAATGTTATGTGGTGGGCTTTGGACAAACATAAAGTCCCAACGGCACGCGTCGGGCTCATTAAGGACATGTACAATAATGTTGTGACTAGAGTTCAACAAGTGATGGAGACACGGATGACTTCCGATTAGGATAGGACTACATCAAGGGTCAGCTTTTGAGCCCTTATTTGTTTGCTTTAGTGATGGATGAGGTCACAAGGGACATACAAGGGGACATCCCTTGGTGTATGCTTTTCATGACGATGTAGTGCTAGTTGATGAAAGCCGGACAGAGTGAATCGAAACTGGAGTTATGGTGGGAGACTTTGGAGTCCAAAGGTTTTAGACTCAAAGAGAACCAAAACTGGGTATATGAGATGTGACTTCGCACTACTACTCGGGAGGAGGAAGATGTTAGTTTGGAAGGTCAAGTAGTGCCTAGGAAGGATACCTTTCGATATTTAGGATCAATGCTACAGAGGGGACGGGGACATTGATGAAGATGTTAGCCATAGAATCAAAGCGGGGTGGATGAAGTGGCGGCAAGCGTCTGTGTCCTATGTGACAAAAGGGTACCACGAAGCTAAAAGGCAAGTTTTATAGGACGGCGATTAGACCTCTATGTTGTATGGTGCGTAATGTTGGCCTCGAAAAGACGACATGATCAATCAAATAAGTGTCGCGAAATGCGTATGTTGCGTTGGATTTGCGGTCATACAAGAAGGGATCGAGTTCGAACGATGATATACGTGATATATTAGGGTAGCGCCAATTGAAGAAAAGCTTGTCCAACACCGTTGAGATGGTTTGGACATGTGCAACGGAGACCCCTCAGAGGCACCGGTGCGTGTAGTGGCATCCTAAGCCGTGATAGTAACGTGAAGAGAGGCGAGAGGAAGACCGAAGTTGACTTGGGTAGAGGCAATAAAAGGAGACTTGAAAGGATGGAATATACCCAAAGACTTAGCCTTAGATAGGAGTGCTTGGAAGACAACTATTCACGTGCCTGAACCTTGATTGCTTCTGATGGGTTTCAACTCTAGCCTACCCCAACTTGTTTGGGACTTAAAGGCTTTGTTGTTGTTGTTGTTGTTGTTGTATAAATGGCTTGAGAAGCTTTGGCAAACTTTTTTGTTTAGAAAAAAATGAAATGTTTACAGTGGGTACTTACAGATTGCTCTCCTATATCAATGGCGGTAGCCATAGGATCTTTGACTTCAGGAATATACTGCCATCATAAAATAGATATGCAAGTAACATTAACCCTACCTGCACACTTATCAGTTGAAATTAAATGGATAGTTTATTAAGATACCGTTATGTCTTGATTGACGTCCTCTCTCTCTTCATTCAGACGTGCATATAGCTCTTCCTTTGTGATCATTATCCCATGCTGAGAGGGAGACAAAAAGATATCAAATAAGAATTCACGACTCCTGTTAGCTACCCAGGACTGATATTTTTTCTTGCCACGTCATACTACTACAAATGCACTTAAAAGTAAAGGTCGTACTCCGGTTATGATTTTGCAGATGATACATTACAAACATGGTTATGATAGATCTTAGCCAAGCAAGTCCAAATAATATGAGTTTAGCAGAAGTGCTATCCCATACCTCCATCAGGTAAGGTACAACTTCAGGGGTAGGCTCATGAAATTCAGGACCTCTGTAGTCAGTCACTTCATCAGGATCCTGAACATAGTTAATTGTTGGATAGACAGGATCACCGCCCCAAACTACACATTAAAGTATGGAAATTATGTCCTGGTTAGGATATTCCCCAATACTATTAAAGTGTATAAAGTAAACCTTCCTATTCAAAAAATATGTTCTTCCAACTTGCTAGAGTAGAGTAACTTTAAGGTGGCAACATTCAATTATGAACAAGACGCTGTTTTACTAACTCAAGCCACCCAAATGGTCTGCTGTTATATATAAGAAGAAATAGGAGCAGAGTAATTCATGAAATGCACACTCAAATCAGTGGATGGGATTATATAAATCATCCAGAAGGTTCTGCAACACAGACATGACTCCAAGGTGTATGAAAACAGTTTTTTTTATATTTAGCTTCTAACTATAATGATATTATGTAATTGCTCCTAGTAACTTGCAGTTGACATTCTACCAGACTAGAATAGAGCATCTCTGTGGAAGGATAGAACAGGGAAGCTAATGTAAGGCAAACAACACATGATTATGCAGCAGCAACAAAAAAGACTTTAAAGACAAGACATGCAAAAGAAGAGTTTTTAGCAAAGAAATACTCTGTTTGATCTGGTCTTCCCGCATTCTCATGGCCAAAGGATCTCGCTGAATACGCACATCGGTGCCCATCATGATACGATATTCCCCAGCAGTTTGGTGTTGAAACATTTTTATAAGTTGAGCATTCTCATCTTCGCCGGTTTCCTCAAAGTGCTTCTGTATGGCTTCGCGTGATGTATCCTTGTTTTTATAAGCTTCAACCCATTCTGAGTAGTATGCTATCGGCCCTATTTCTTCTAGTCTCCTTTGCTCTGCTTCTAACCTGTTTTTATATTGTATATCAAATGTAAGAGTATAAATGGGAAAGATAGACTTGTGTTAAATTAAAGAAAATATATCCTCAGCATCTTTCTGATGCAGTATCAAAGAATATATGATGAGACCACCACTTCTTTGTAATATGTGGCATAACTCAGAGAAGGTGACAATCCAAGAGCAGTTAAATAAGTTTAGGAAAGATTATATGATGAGACCATGCACGAGTGGTGGTACTACCAACTCAAAAGCTGTGAAGCAATTAGCATTAGAAACAAGGTGTGTGCAAGTATTCTATAAAATCATTCGGTAAAGATGTACTGCATGAATTTATGGTATAATAACTCTAGTATTCTATGAATGTAAGTCAACCTTTCCTCTTTGTACAAATGTCTTCTTGTCTTTGCAAGAGCAGCTTCTGTCCGTGAAGGATGGTCCCCAAAAATTTTAATTTGCCCAGTCTCCGCCATTGCCTTTGCAAAAACCTAAAATGATACAGCATACATTACGATTTATAATGTTGATCAGTGATCACAGCTCAAATCTGTCATGGAATATAAGTTAGTTGAAACACCAGTCAAGATAAAAAAAAATCACAAAGCCTCAACCTATCACGCGATATGGACACACAAACCTGCACATCAATATACATGCACAGACGTCAATGCCAAGCACAAGCCTCACCTTTACATCTATGAGACTATGACACTCTTCTCACGTTCACAGTACAAACAGAATAAATGGAGAACCATAGGATAGTTGCCAACATGGTCGCTAACACTTGACAGTAATTAGCACTAAAATACCATATATACTTGGCTAGCTACTTTAGCACAGATAAAACAAATAAAATGACACTGAAAGATCATAGGGGAATTGTTCCGCCCAACATCTATGCTATATGAACTCTAAATGAGGCATAGAAATACTAGCGAGTAGCATTGCAATACTCAAAATCGTACATTTATGGCCTTTTGTTGCAGTACCTTACCATGTCCGGAATTGGCGAACAGTCCCAATATAAGGAAACATCACTGCCTACCACTTACTAGGTTTAATCAAGTGAGGAACTAACCGTGTCAACATCTGGACGCCTCCTCTGCCATCTTGACCACATTTCCTCATCCTGAGACTTCCTCCTCCAGTGCCACCAGAGCTCTTCGCTGGTTTTCAGCTCCCCTAATGACATCGCCTTTGCTGGGTCAATGAACGGGTGTGGCCGCCCCATCATTTTGTCCATATCATACTCACTCAACTCCTCTTCCTCTGGTGTCTCATAAATGACATACTCATCCGCCGAGTCCTTTAGCTCCTCCAATGCATCGTCCCCAGAGTCTACAATGACCACATCAGGCTCACCGTCATCCTTTCCGTCGTCAGTCTGCGCGCCCTCCGTTCCTGAGGCCGACGTCACCTGCTCCTTATACCCTCTTCTCCTGCTCCCGGGCTTCGTGCCAAATGATGGCGTCCCAGCCGACTCCCCGAGCGGGGCAGGCGCTCGTGCGGCACGCACGCGGGCCGCCGTGCCCTCCGGCCAGTACTCCTTTCCGGGTATGCTTGCCCGAGCGCCCGACGCCGGCTCGAGCTGACCGGATGTGGAGTCGAAGTAGCTGGAGTACGGTGGCGGTTCTATCTTCGACGGGTCGAAATGGAGCGAGTCGTCCTTGACGCACTTGATCCTGGCACGACGCGTGCCCAGGAACAGCAGCCTCCTCCGGTGAGGCAAGCTAGCGAACAGCTTCTGTGCACGCACCGAACGAGTTCCAATCAGGCGCGGAGACCGAACTAGGAACCAAAGTTAAACTGTACGAGACGTTCAGGCAGTTACCGAGGACTTGCAGGTGCGAGGATGAGCCGGCGCCGAGACGGGCCCGGCAGGGGCCGCCGGCGACATTCCTGAACAGTTTCAACAGAGAGTGGCTGTGATAACTTACGAGAACGAGTTGTGCGCGGGGAATTACGAACGATGAAATGGGGTCCCAGCTGGAGGTTACCTGGGAAGAGGCGACAAGGGTGGTAGCAGGACGCCATGGTTGCGGCTCCCGCTGGTGCGGCGGTAGGCCGTAGGCGTCGGCTCGTAGTGCGCGGGCGAGAGTGAGGTGGGAGTCCGGCGGCGTGGTTTTGGTTGGGGGCCTTAGGAGGTTGCCGGGTTCAGTTCAGGATAACGAGAAGGAAGAATGGAAGAAAAGCGTGTACGTTTTCATGCGAAGAAGAAGGTTATCAAGGTTATCTTCAAATTAGCGAGTTACTCCCTGAACCGAAATTTTTATTATAAAACTGAGCATCCGTGTTACACAAATTCATTTCTAATTACTTAAGGCTGTGTTTGGCAGCTAGTACATATGAAAGGGCATGAGCATTAGTGTGGGAGAATAGAGAGAGAGAGAATTAGTGTGGGACTTGAGAGAGAGAGAGTTAAAAGGCGAGAAGTTGATTTTTAATCCTACATCTGTTCGCTTGAACTTATTCGAAACTATTTTTCAGCCTATGGAAGAGTGTTTTTCTCTCGCAACATTTTAGCATAAGCTAAATTTTAGCATAAGCGAACATGGTGCTAATTCTTTGTTGCGGTTCTTGCATTCTTACCCCTATTTTGTATTGAAATTTTTTGTTTTGCCCGTGTTTTTTTAACTTTGTGGATTTACCCTGTGTTTTCAGAACGAAGCATCACTTTGCCCCAATTCCGTAGTCCTTCCCTAACGGTGTTAACTTTTGTAGAAAAGGACAAATATGCCCATATGATTTTGTCCTGATTTTTTATGGCTATTTGTGATTTTACCACTAATTTAGAATAAATACATTTATATTGTATTTTGACAAAAAAAATTCAATTTGGTCAAATATATTTAGCACAATTTGCATTTATTTCAAAACAGATTAATATTAAAAAATATCCAAAATTTTGGCAATATTTTAGTAGCATCTTAGCAGTATTTTAATAGCATTACGGCAACAATATGAACCACATATGAAAACATGAAAACACTACAACAACCATGAAGAAACAACATCCATATCACATTTCAATCTCACATTACACTGATATTTTATAGTATCCAAACTAAAAGGATCAAAATAGAATGCAGGTCCCATCAGATATCTGTTAAACTGTTGCAACTGTTGCGGTCCTAGTCCCACCGAGTCAAATTACAGTTGGAAATTACTAGGCTCGTAAAATGCATTACTACAATTGGGAATGGCAAGGATAACAAACTCTTGAGAAGTGGCATCTGACGAATGAATTCAGAAGGCACCCCAATTCAGAAAAGTCGCATCTTGCCGACGCCGAGGAGCAAGCACACGCCGCCAAGATCTGCTGGCTCTAGTGGTGATAGAGGCCGATACCCGCTGGCCGCTGGGCATACCAGCCCCGCGCGCGGCCACATACAGCAGGTTTGGGATGAAAAGGGGATACAGTATCAAGCACGATGCTATCGCACAAACATCACATCGGTAAATCAAGCGCCAGCAGAGTGCTATGTATTTAACATTCTGGTTGCAAAAGGATTTTCCATTCATGCAACATTCTGGTAGTACATTCTTTTTACAGTTACTGGTTAATCACTCAGCTACTTACATCAACATGCTTCAGAGTGTACACACCACAACAACCAAAAAAATTTCTCTAGACAAAGGTAAGCTCCACCTCCATGCAGTCAAGTCATCACTGCATACGCTGGATCAGTCAGGCCCTGGTTTGCATTGCATCCACTGCATCAGCTCAGCTAATCAGTCACCAGGAACTGTATACAACCTTGGAGATCACCGAGAATGGGATGATCGCCCGGTGGCCTTTGTCACCATAGAAACCGACGTTCCCGAAGCTTGCGCTGGAGCTGTTCATGGTAGCGTTCACGACGAAGGTCACAAGCTGCTTCTGCCCGCCTGGAATCGAAAATTGTGTCGGCGCCACGGAGACTGCAGTTCCATAGGGAGCGCTGTAACTGACAGTGTAGCTCTCGTCGGCCGCCACGTTGGTCACCGTTCTTGTTATGGTTCTCGTCTGGTTGAGCACGGCTATGGTGATTGATGGTAGATTTAGATCAGCTCCTGTCATGGTGGAGGCCATGCAGCTGTTGCCAGTGTAGTTTGTCACGACTGGGCTAGACCCATTTATGCCGCAAAGAAATGAGAAGAAATCATCATAACCTGCAAGGATAATTTACAAATTAGCTATATAGATATAGACACGTCCATCATGTACAGATAAATATACTTTTACTTTTTAACACAAACAAAATGGAGATGACTGTAGAACTTACTGCAATCAAATACGAGCCCTGGGTCTAAAGCAGCGGTAGCGTTGACAAAGCCATTCCCCATATCAAAAGCTGTCGCTGGAGATTGCGTTGAGTCTGGGTTGCTGTATGTTCGCTGTGCCATGATTGGTTTCCCTTGCCTGTCACTAAGAGTTGTGGTTGTAGACAATGCAGAAGCTATAGCTACGGGGCTAAAGGAAGGAAATTTCTGCTTGATGAGAGCGGCGAGGCCAGCAACATGGGGTGCAGCCATACTTGTGCCAGAGAGCATTGCGAAACTTTCACCTAGAAGAGAGTTTTCGACAGATTCTATCAGTGAAAGGAAAAGTTATAATGCTGGACTCTAATGCAAAGGCAATTTTGTTTGAAGGGCTTTCATGACAAAATTGAATAGTAATTGTAAAATCTTCTTTTGGGCAGCTGGGTAGTCCAACAGCAATGGTGCTCTAATCATTTTTAAATGTTTGAAGAATTAATCAGTCAATATATGTAACACTTTGTTTCAACATTACAGTTTGCTATTCTTCATCTAAAAAGGTGTGCCATTTTAACAAGGTTAAGAACATAGACTGATCAAATCTTTCCATGTTGGTACAATTCACAAGCCAATTTACACAAGGTTCACAAAACATTTCGAAACAAAAAAAGGAGCAATTACCAGCAAATTCAGCAGAATCCAATCCAAGTGAACTCCAAGCACCCCAAATGGAACTTCCGGGTGCTACCAGATTTGGTTTCAAGATATCCGCATTTGACAGTGAATTGTCCTCAGGGTCAGGACCCCTAGCAGAATAGAACATTACTTTTGGTGCAGAATTTCCATAATTTGGATTTAGACCCCCTAATATTTTAGCAACTCCGCCGAAGCTAACAACTTGGCCTGATGTCTCATCTCTCACTAGGGAATCATTGTAGTAAGTAAGAAATACCTGCAATATTGTGCTACAATTATTCAGCAAGGAAGAACATTGCACCTACAAGTTTTTTGCTGAGAAAGGGTAAGTTTACATTGAGAACATAGTGATTGTGTATCAAATGTCAGCTTCTGTATGTATCAACTTAAAATCATACGACAGTCAACATGAAGCCCAAAATAGACAGAATAAAAGGCATAGAACTAACTACACCAGACCAATTGCTGAAATGGTTTGAACAAAAGTGAACAAAATTCAAGAAACTGGGTCAGATTAATTATCAGATTGGGCCAATCGTCAGCAAAACAAAAAAAAACACAGAAAAGGAGGAAAGAATAAGAATAATTGGGTTGCAGCATTAGCTCTTGGCTGCCCTACCTTGGAGTCATCAGATGATGGTATTATAAGTCCAGGCATGCGCATTGGAGTTGGGTTCAGCTGGAACCCAAGAACAAATGGGTCTAAATAGAATATAACTCCTGCGGCGCTGACATTATTAGCTGTATCTAGAGCTTGTTTCACAGAAGAAAGACCAAGCACAAATCTTATAGAATAGCTGCACACTAGTATCTTTCCTCTTATCAAATCTGCATCTAGGCGACTCGAATCTTGGCACTCCCCAAGGGACATTTCAGTAGGACTGACTGTATTGTTCTTCAGTGCATGCGGTGCAGCAACTAAAGTATACATGCAATCACCATCCGTTCCAGCTGTATTTACATTTAATCAATACAGGTTACAGTTATATAGAGGTAACTATATTTGTACAGAAAATTACTTCAAAGGAACTTACGGGCAAGACCAACTCCTTGAATGGTCAAATTGTTACCAAGGACAACGTAGTTGCTGTATACCCTGTCATGGGCAGAAGCTCCAACAGTAAATATCCAAGGACTATAGGAAGACATGCTCTTAGGGGAAGGGCCAGTATTTCCTGCAGCTTGCACCACAAATATGCCAGCTTTTACAGCTGACAGGAGTGCCATATCTATTGGATTGAAGAATGTTGCGAGTCCAGGTGGCCTCCGATTAGGAGTAATGGACAAACTGATGATGTCAACATTATCTTCAGCTGCCTGTAAATGCAATGTAGAGAGTTATTTGTGTTGCATGTCAACATGCAGGTTTGTCTACTGCAGCATTTTGCATTTTGCATTTTGCAATGCTTCTTAGAATTTGGGAAATCACCTCACACCCTTTAGAAGTGGGGGGGGGGGGTGCCTTTCATTCATGTGTGTGTGTGTAGAGAGAGAGATACAATCTTGGAGTACAAGTCAAGTTACCTCTACAACTCTATCTCTAATAGCTTCTAGTGGGTTGGTAGGTCTTTTATAAAATTCAACATAAATATTTACCTAAAACCTATTAGACTTTTAGTCTGACTCTGACATATTAATAAACTTGGGCATCCACATTGCTTGAACTCTAAACATAGATTCAGCCTTTTTCCATGGTAGTGTTGTCTGATGCCAAATTAACTAGCATAAGTTTGTCAAATGATGTTAAGGTTATATTGAGAGATGGAACAGTTTTTTTGTGCTTTAACTGACAGATTATAAGAAGCTAAATGGCAGAACAATACCTGATCTATTGCAGCCACTACATCAGCAGCAAAACCACCAAAGCTTTTGTAAAGAGCTTTATAGACAGCAATGCTGAAGAAACAAATTATTATATTAATTTGGGAAATAAATCAGAGCTACATTCCTAAAGCAGAGGGCAATGATCTTACTGTGCACGAGGAGCCATGCCACTTGCATTTCCAAATTGATGCCCAGCCACAACCACAGGAATTCCGTGATTTCCAGCAGCAATGGATGCTGTATGCCTGTAGGCACAAATCTTAGAATCAGAGGAA